GAGCTTCACTGAGTGAGAAGTAGTGGAGCTCAGCAGACAGTTAGGTTTCACTTTCACTTGTTACTGCCGAGAGCCTGCAGGAGTTATGGGCGGGGTATGTGGGGTGATGGGTGGGGAGTTGTGCACAGTGATGAGGAAGTTCGGCTTAAAGACACGTCCCAGGGGCGTTTCTGGTCCCAAAAGGCGTTTCTGGTCCCCACCTGTTGTTTTGCTCCTCAGCATGGCTTCCTAAAAACGCTGCAGGATTTCTCAAACATGCATGAATGAGTCAAAGCAAGGCTTTGAGCATGTTTTTATAAGAGTATAACATTACAACATGATGTAAAACTCAAAAAAGTTGATTTTACATGATATTGCCCCTTTAACATCATCACAACAGTGTGATGGTAGCTACATCATGAGTTGAACCAGATACGGCAGCAGGCTGGATGACTCAGGTGGAATCAGAGATTTATAGCCAGAGCCCAACTCCACCTAATATTCAGGGCGGGTCACAGCTCACGATTTTATTAAGCCTACAGCTAGAGCAGAGAAAACTTAACAAGAACACACTATCTAAAGTTGTGTTGACCTGCTGTATTTAAGTGTGTATAATGCCAAACAGTAACCCCAAAAATCATCTGTAAAGTTGGGGAGTGGTAGCTTTCATACAGGGGGGTAAATCTTGACTAAATGTTTTCTAATGTACTACAACAATACACATAAATATTTTCTTGTATATAATTGTGTCACGGGGATAATTAATCCTAGTTTCTCTCTCTGTCCTCTTGTTGTAAAAAACTTCAGGCATAACTAAGCAACAACAGCAGGTGTTTTTTCACAACAGTGTTGAAGGAGGCAAAACTCGTCTTTGTTGTTTTTGGTAGAGATGAAAAGATGTGGACATCAGTAACACGTTTGTGAGCTCATTAGGACCAGACAAGCAGCTACTTTTTTTTTTGCCCATTTTGCTAATATAACAGCTGGTTTCTGCTGTGAGACCGGACTGTTTTCTGCGACATGAAGCTGCTCCTCCTCGACAGCTTTTGCTCTGCAGCAACAAACCCACCCACAGGTGTGTGTCTCCAAAATAATGCAAAAAAAAAAAATAATAATGTGTTTCACCATCAGAGAGTACACGACAAGGGCTGAAAAATCCTGAAGTTTATACTGTATATAATTAGGGACTTCTTTATTTTTACTTTATATTTATACATGAAGATTTGATCTGCTATGCTTTTTAAGCTAAAATAAAAATCCCATTATACTCAAGAGCACCATGGTTTTGAGCTGGAAAAGGGTACGGTGCCTTCTCCGGGTCGGGGAGGAGTTTAAGTATCTCGGGGTCTTGTTCATGATTGAGGGAAGAATGGAGCGGGAGATCGACAGGTGGATTAGTGCTGTGTCTGCAGTGATGCGAGCGCTGTACCGGTCTGTCGTGGTGAAGCGGGAGCTGAGTCAGAAGGTGAAGCTCTCAGTTTACCCGTCGGTCTACGTTCCTACCGTCATCTATGGTCACGAGCTTTGGGTACTGACTGAAAGAACGAGATCGCAGATACAAGAAGCTGAAATGAGTTTCCTCAGCAGGGTGTCTGGGCTCTCCCTTACCCCGGATTTATACTAGATGCGATTCCGCACCGCTGTGCAGTTTGCAGCTGTTTGTTTGCATCCCAATTTATACAGTGTCCGCTCTGCTCAGCACCGCTCCGGTGCGACACACAGAGGAGGGAGCGTGTGCAGGAAGGAGATTGCGCGATAAAACCAGTGATAAATGTGGAAGTCAGAGCAAAACATGATGAATTCTGTGAAAGATGAACTCCAAACACAGCTGGAAACATAGATATAAAAGCTTTTAATATCTATGGTTGAAACTGTATCGCTGTTGCCTTTTTGAAACTTCTGATTTCAAAATAAAATCCACGTGTCGTGTGTGTACACAAATGCTTCATCTACATGTTGCCATCTGCTTCCCAAACAGAACGAAACATCCTGACAGCATTTGTGCAGAAATATAGCCATTCATTGATTAATATAGCTGGGATTTCAACAAAATTATTCCACTCTGTTGTGTCTTATTTTGAAATTACGGATGTTGTGCTTGTTTATTTTCCTGTTGGTGCAATGTGACCTCTGTAGACTGACTCCGGAGCATCTCTGGCGTCCGGCAAAAATAGGATCAGATCTAATTTTAGTGGATCTCCGGCCACTCACCACCGCCCTGTGCTGCCATGCTGGATCCAGTGTAAATTAGGGATGTCCCAATCAGATACTCGGGATCAGTATTGGTGGCAGATATGGCCATTTTTTGAAAATTGGGTACAACCAGATTTAGTCATGTGATCAGGCCGATCCAGTTTTCGTGACAGTTTTCAGCATCATCATGCTTTACAGCTGCTGTTAAGAAGTCAAGACGCACACAAGTATGCAACCACGTCCACAGTGTGGGAACACTTTTCAATGGAAAACAATGATGCTGAAACTGCATCTTGCAAAATCTGCAAACTGGATGTTTCTCGTGGTGGGAACAGCAGGGCTCGCTTTAATACTACCAGCCTTGTCACTTGGAAAGAAAAAATAAATAAATAAAGCTATAAAATCAGTTTTGGAAAGACTAATAATAAAAAAAAATCATTTTCTTTCGGGAGCCAAAAAATCTGGATCAGGACATCCCTAGTGTAAATACTCTCATTGATCAGTCATCCAGGAGGGACTCAGAGTAGAGTCGCTGCTCCTCCACGTTGAGAGGAGCCATTTGAGGTGGTTCATCTGGTTAGGATGCCTCCTGGACGCCTCCCTGGTGAGGTGTTCTGGGCACGTCCCACTGGGAAGAGGCCCAGAGGAAGACCCAGGACACGCTGGAGGGACTATGTTTCTCTGCTGGCCTGGGAACACCTTGGGATTCCACCGGATGAGATGGCCCAAGTGGGTGAGGAGAGGGAAGTCTGGGTCTCTCTGCTTAAGGCTGAGTCACACTACAAGATTTTAAAGCAGTCGGATGATTTTCAAAGACTGATGGAGCCCAAACGTGTGGATAAAAAAATCATGGATCTACCAGGTTTGGTCCTACAGTGTGTGATGTACAGCCACACGGCAAGAGACAACACACCACACATGAAAAGATATTTAATCCATGAACATTCAGATGTCAGATTTTAAATCACGCGAGACTTCCTGAAATCTCGCGAGAATTCATGTGTCCAAGAAAAAAAATCTCACGTGACCTCCAGAGAGACGTGAGTTCAGAGTAAATAAACATTTGCAACAAGGAAGAAACAATGTTGATCGTTTGTGGACTATTTTTACCAGAGGAAAAACAATTCTATAGGATTTTTAACATCCAGCAGACTTTCTGGTGGGTCATGACAGTTTTTCTTGTCTCATGTATTTTGGAATCCCCTCCGTGTTTACATCACCTCACTTCCTGATTGGCTACAAGTCTCATTCAACAGGCTGCGAGCTCGGGTGAACACCACACACACTGTGATATCGGACAAAAAACAAACAAACATGTTGAATAGCCCCGATTTGAAGTCGGAGCGGTCCCGATGTCATTCCGAGCCGACTAGATCACTCTTAACTCACCACCCACAGCAGGAATATCTGTTATAATTATCTTTAGAGCCATCACGATAATCTGGACTTCCTTAAGATTGTCGGAAGGGCAAAAATCGGCACGATTTTCTTGTAGTGTGATGCCGGCCTTAGGCTGCTGCCCCCGTGACCCGACCCCGGATAAGAAGAAGAAAAGGATGAACTCGAGATCACACTATACACATAAATACAGTACTTATTGTCTAATTRGAGGAGTAGGTAATTTAAGAAAGAAAATAAGATGCAGAAGTTAAGCACAGTGCACTGCACAGCTAATGCTAACGTTCTCTGGTCCTTTCTGATTTGCTTAAAAACTCAAACGGTGGTTTAAAAACAAAAGCACTGAAAGCCTGATTAAAATATCATGTTGGGTTTACTTCAGGCTCAGGCCTCTATTTAAAGTTAATCAGCCTGGTTGGATCGGGCTTGGACACAATATCTATGGGCTTGGGCTGGGTCAGGTCAGGTCGGCTTTACTAGGCCCGATCTGAAGTCTGTTCAGAGAGGCTGCTCCATTCAGGATCACAATAAATGACAGAATGAGACCAGTGACACCCTGCTACCACTCATTCCAGTCTCTTAAAAAGAAATGAACACACATCAGACACTACATCTGTTTCCCTAACTCAGTGGTGGGCACCAGTCCACTAAAGCACAAACCCACTAATTGCGGACCTAAATATTTCGTTTGCGCTTTAGTGGTCTTAGTAATTTTTATATCTCATAAGCAGATTTGCGCTTTCTAAAATTAAAATGCAGTACTGCTAATAACTAATTATCTACCAGTCATCATCTTGAACAGTGGAAGGTATGACTGTCAGTGAATCACAACACACGTGATCTGTCCAATTGCACCCCTCCCAGATAAACACACTCATTGGAAACGTACACATCCTTGCTGACTGTTGCTCTCGGTCACGGTTCTCATTTCCCACAATGCTTTGTGTCTGCTTACGTAGCAGGAAGGCAATGTTTAGTACTCCTTTCCCAGCAAAAAGAGTAAACGTTTGTAATCCATACTAAACTTTTGTATGTATTGATTTATTTTACTTTACAATCGGAGCTCCTTTTAAAAAAAAAGTTTAAACGCTGGAGCTCAGTACTTGACGTAATTGGTCGAAGCAATCTGCCAACGGGGTTAGACAGACATCTAGTGGTCAGCTGGAGCAACTACATGGAAAACTTTCATCTCCCGTCACAAATGAATCTGTCATGTACCCAGAATGCATCGCTTCAATTTTCCAATAGACAGTTTTAAAATAACTTTATTGATGCATCTTTAATGAAAAATCTACAACAAACAAAAGAAAAAGACAAAGAAGCAGCCGAACTAGCAATCCTAAACAACTTTTTAATTTTTACACCGGGAGCTAATGGTCTGTTTCAGGAAATCACATCCCCAGCAATCGACGGTTGTAAGATTAAGCTGTAAAAGAGTTCATACACCGCTAGTTGGCAGTGTTGTGCATATATTGTACATTAATTATTGCCAGCTAGTAAGTGTTAAATTGAATTTGCGCTATAAAATTAGCTTCTGCTAGTTTTTCTATGGCATACGTATTTTTGAAGTTGCTGACCTAAATATTTTCATAAGTGCTTTAGAGCTAATTTTAGGGTTAGCGCTGCCCACCACTGCCCTAACTGTGAAAGGCCATATGTTTTTTATTTTTTCAGAATCACACCTGGATACGATTCATTAAGGTCATTTTAAGTTCATGTCCCACTCACAGTGCTGTGAGACGCTGCTGTCCTCGGCTGCTGTGGTGGAGATGACCATAGCCGTGGCTGTGGAGTGGGAGCCCAGAGCTTTGGACTCCTGGGACGCCAGAGGCTGCAGCGTGCTGAGAGGAGTGAAAGACTCGGGGAAAGCAGAGGGAGCCGTGGCCAGGTGGGGGATAGCGTCGGCTGGTGACACGGCCCCCGAGGACGGAGCGCTGCTTTCAGGGACGGTCCCGCTGGTGTCTGGTGAAAACTCAGAGGGAGGCGCTGCTGTCACGTCCTCTCTTGGCGCTGCTGAGAGAAAAGCATGGAGGAACATTTCAGGTGAAGAAATACAACGATTAACTTGAGATTGCTGTTCAAAAGTCTTAAACCACCACCATTTGATATTACAAATATTTTGTCTGCAGCCGCTCAGTCCCACAGTCTGATAATCCTGAGGCTGTGGGTCTAAGCCCAGGTTGCATCAGGAAGCACATCCAGTGTAAAAGAATTACCAAATATTTTGTGCAAGTTGGTTCACTGTGCCGACCACAGCAGAAAAATTCTCACACAAAAGTTTTTGAACAAAATCAAGAGACAAGGCTGCACACTCATGAATGTTGCAAGGCATTCTGAAAACTCCCTTATGTACACACCCAGGACCTTCTTGCTGAAAGACAACAGTGCAAACCAACTGCTCCACCATGCCTTATCAGCTTTATGATGATATCTTTATTAAACCTTCATTATGTCTCTGTTACCAATAAGTAAGCTCACCTGGCACACAGCCTCTCATATCAGGGCCCAGGTCCTGACCATTGGGACAGGCACAGGTGTATTTGGGGGAGTGCTCGGTGATCTGTGGTGCTTTCAAACACAAATACTCACAGCCTCCATTGGCTACACTGCCCAGATTACAGCTGTCAGGGCCTGGAAACAGTAACAAAGAGAAACAGAGAGACAGACTGGTTACAATTCACAGGGAGATGGCTCAGATTTAAAGAGACAAGATTTATCTGATTTTATTCTTCCCACAATGATTACAACAGTCTTTTATTTTGTCTGAGCAAATTTAGAAAATTTAAATAACCACACCTGGCAACACAGGCATACATACAAACACATGCTGTTGAAAAGTGCTATATAAATACATTTTACCTACTGTTATGGAATGATTATATGTATATCTGTTCTACCTTGACACTGTCCAGTAATCATATCTCATGATAACTAGTTTCGGCTGTTTTAATCTATCAGCCCAGACTTCAAGACTCCAGCAATTCATGACCTCTTTTATTTTGATAAGGTGTTTCTGGGCTGACAGCCCTGTCATTGGTTAGATGGTTCACAGTTGTCGAACTGTGATTGGTTGTAAGCATGTTACAGGATGTTATATTATCGGCTGCTCTGCGCTGACGAGCCAGCCACAACTTGACAGACTTCTCTGATTGACTTCTGCCCTGTTGTTGCTCACATTAAATCATTTGACGGCCATACACGCAGACTTTCTGTGCATTTATTCAAACGTGTTTCTGCATATTTGGTAAATCGTGCCACCACAATTTTGGCGTTGTCGTTATCGGAGCTCTAAGGACCGGAGTTTGCCCGCAGCGACCGACTTTTTCGGACGACCACTGGACAATGGGAAAAGAAGGCTTTTTTTCAGCTTCTGAGAAAGCTGACCTGTCTTCCTCTGCTGATCGTGTCCGGGTTGGGATCTGTCCGTACTTCGGATGCAGTGGGTGACCTTTGGGACTGGAGCTGAAAAGAACCTGTCTGTGACAGAAACGCGGTGAGCTAATACTTTCATTAGCACCTTATGCGAAAAGCTATAGCTATTTTCAGCCCACCACACACTGAAATTCTAATTGTTTAGACGTTCATCTGGTCGCTTCTGCGGTTGTCGATTTTAGCCGAGGTAGATTCGGGAGCATTTTATTCCAAATCGAGTCAAAACAGGGAGTTTAGCTTTCTGTTTTGTGGTAGCCAAGAGGACATTGTTCGTCTTGGTGAGTTTAGGCAGTTTAGACATGATTAAACTGCTGAGGGAAAATTAAATTTTCCGTTTTTGTTTTCTGTTGAGGAGACACAGTAGGCTAAAAGTCATTTTAAAAGGTGGCCGCCCAATTTTCATTATAAGAAAATTGCATACGGTAGTGCACTGGGCACGAGTTTGTACAATGGGTCTAGGTTGATTCTGTTGTGAAAGTGTCTGCGGGTAAGGAGTTGATAAATTAGCTTTCCCGGACGGTGGCAGTTTTAGTCTTAGACAGCTCAGCCGCCTCCGTGATCTCTTACTGGAACATGAATCAAAGCTTAAAATCAAGAAGAATGATAAAAAGTTGTTTTGAAACATTTTTAAAAACATGTTTTAGTCTCTCTGTTTTCCGGGCTATTATATGGAGCGGATTGGGGGTTTCCTGTTTGGGCCCCGCAGTGTCACCTCCTGTGGGTGCGGCCTGGTTTGGGGCGGGTGACCAGGGCCCGGTCCTAACGGCCCCCATGCCGTGGACCGTGTGTTGACAATAGAAGGGGGCACGCGGCGACGACGGATTACCCGTTTTCTCCAGCAACAAAACCCACTAAGATAAGCATAAAAACATTTGTTTTAAAACTAACTCTCAAGTTTTAAGTAAATTTACAAAAAAAAAAACCCACCATAGCTGTGTTTTGAGTTGTAATTGATAAAAAAAATTAAACAACATTAGAATGCTAGAGGCAAATATATTTTATTGAAGGCACAGAGTTTATGATACTCTTAATTAATGAAACTGTTTTTCATGTGGTGAAACGTCACCTGGGACTAATGGTTAAAATGGATTTTGCTGAACTAGTGTTTTTATTTTTGTTTGCTTGTTTCTGTTACAAATGACTTTGAGTCAATATAAAAAAGTGGAAATTTGTTCAGTTGCCTGAAGCAAGGGGAGAGTGTTTTTTGTTTTATCTTAAAATATAAGATACAGAGAAGTACAAAAAATGTAATAAAACATTCCAACTTGAAATAGAATGCACGACTTGTTTACATGCCATTAAAAAAACACACAAAAGTCTTTCAAACAGACCGAACAAAAAGTGATTTTGGTTGTCTAACAGAGGGTGTTTTATGAAATTTTTGCTGAAACAACATTAACAGGCATCTTTGAAAAAAAAAGTGTTAAAATACCTGACATTATCTGCATGCTGTTGAGTAAACAGAGAAAACTGTATCAATAATTTCCTTTTTTTGCATGTGTGCTTGGTTTTTTATGTAACTGGGGATCTGGTTCCTGGTGGCCCTCTGCTCTTCCCGCGTCCACTCCAACCCCGAGACCTGGGCCAGACCGATGATGGACAGCGATGCTGAGACCAGAAGACTGTATAAAAGCCAGCGCTCAGAAAATCTTCCACAGCCCAGCGCCATGAAGGCGAGATAACGTCATTTCTGCCTGTTGGCCTAAAACCTCCCAACCCGGCAACAATTTTCAAAATGCAACAGCAATGAAGACATTGGAACCGCGTGACTGATATCTTTCCAGCACTGTGGAGAAGACTGAGAAAGTTGCCGTTATGAAAGCCCAGCACCTGCTGCCACTCTACGGGGCTACCATCACCCCATCGTCAGATCAATCAGCCTGACGCTACAACATGACGCTTCTTGACAAGCTGTGTGACAAATGGCAGCATCAACATAAGACCTGCAAAACAACGGCATAAGTGACCGTCACAAGACTGCTGTGGAATGGACAAGAGGGGGTGGGGGTGCAGGAGTGGAGCTCTCTGAGAAGGCTTCACAGCATCATCGCCTCAATCTATGCAAACAAGAGCACATCTGTGGATGGCCAGGGCGTTTTTAGGTCCAAGTCGACCGGGGACAAAGTGATGACCACAACCAGGCCTTTTTCTGTGGAAGAGTGGGCACGGATGGAGTCAGACGGCCAGCCAGCCCGCCCATAGAAAAGATGAGTAAACTCACACACACGCTCTCATATGTTCTGTAAAAGAAACTTTTTCTTTCTTTCATTTTTTACTGTATGAATAGTAAAAGATCCGAAAAAAGAAACAAGACAATAGCTGATCTGAAATATGAATTTTGACAAGTTTATGTTGAACAAAATATCTGGCATTATTTTTAAAGAATGTTTGATAACAAGTGTAGAAGCTTTTTCTATAATTCTTTTGTTTCTGTGTTTTTATTTCTATGTGGGTTTTGGACTCTGTCTTCGGCCTGCGTCTGCCACTCCCCCAACCTGGCCCGTCCACCAACTTTGATGAGGAGGGTGGGCTGGGGAACCTGGTTCGGTGTGGGGTGTGCGGTGCAGCTGACTGTGCGATGACCACTACGTGCCAGGTTTCAAGGGGGGGGGGGGTGCGGACGGGCCGAGGGACAGACAGTCCAAAATGGCACTGCCCTCCCATAAAAAGATGAGTAAAACACTGACACATGCTCATACATTCTTGAGGAAAAAAAAGGGAAAAGAGGAGAATTTGTCTACAGTTTTGAGCCGCATCAAATTCTTTAATTTTTATTGTCTGTTTAGGAATAAAAGCCTTTTGTTCTCTGCGACAAGGTTTTTCTGTCATTTTAGGCCTCACATGTGGAAAAGCCTTTAATTTTGAATTTTGTTTTTTTTTTTTTTACATTATTTGACAAAGGCTATATTAGTTTGTTTTTGCTTACTATTATTCACTGCACAATAGTGCTAGCTCTGTTTGTCTGTCTATATTTTCCTCTTGTGACTAATTTTTGGCTTTAAGGGTGAACCTGATCATTTTATTTTTTCTTGGATTATGTTTTTGTCAGGTAATGGATGATGTAATGGAACTAATACTTTTATGTTTAAGCAAGTAATTCATGACATCCTTTAATGACTTAGATTTTCCTGACATGCTGTTCATCTGCAGACAGAATGATTAAAGTCAGAACAAGATCTGCTAACAACAGTCATTCTTAGATATCACTTGTGTTTATCTTTGTGTTTTCCATTGACCTTGTATCAAATCTTGCTAAGATGACATAATGGTGTTTGTTAATATATATATGAGGCCTCTCGAGACACAGTGTTCGACAGTGGACAGAGTGGAGTGACAGAGAGAAGCAGAAGCACAGAGACAGGGAAGGTTGTTCTCTGTGTTTCCTGTTGTTGCAATAAAACTTAGCTGATCATCTCACAGAGTACCTTCATTCTTGGACCACGTATTTCTGTCTTTGTTAAGCTGTTTATAAGTAGTGTCAACATGGGTCCCAGGTGATCAGAACACAAAAAAGATAATGATTAGAGGTCTGAATGAAGACTGGAGTGATTGATTAGATATTCAGATCAGAAAGGTGAAGTCAGTTTTACAGTCAGAAAGCAAATCACTCAGTGTCTTAATGTCCTTTTTTTGTTTTTGTTTTGTCAGACCAATTAATGTGCAATGACTGAATTATAAAATACAGGAATAAAACATAATAGGAAGTATTAATAAGAAATATGACCTAAAGAAGCTGTGGTGTTCCACAAGGCTCCATATTAGGGTTCCATTTAATTTTTGTAACAGCTAAGGTAAAACATAAAATGTTTGCAGGTGATTGTAACATCTTCAGTTTTGGGATTGATACTAAATAATTAGTAAGACAGGCAAAAGGTTATTTAAGCTTGTTCAAACTTTGTTTTGTGTTAAGTGATATAATAATGGTTGCGTTAGACATATTTTTGATAAAACACTTTCACAATGTAACAAAGATTTATATAGGAGTTTAGAGGTGGTTCACAATTCTCTACATTTTCACAAGTGTACAAACCATGCTCTGTGGGTTAGAAGGGGAAGTTGAATGTTTTTTTAATACATTCTATAACAAACAAGTCACTGCACTCCCACATGCCAAACACATTGCGGGACAACAGAAATATTGTTATACACAATTAATAACGACGTCGTCATTTAATACAAAAACACAAGAACTGCCGCTTCAAAACCTCATCACTCTAGACTTTCTTGCAACCTAAGCCTTTCAGATGAACGCTGATGACCATCATCATGTTTCTTTTAGGGATGCTCCAATCAGGTTTTATCCTACCGATTCCGATAATGAGTGTCGATCACTGCTGATCACGATACTGATCAGATGGATTGACTGTCACACGAGTGGGCTGCGTTAACTGCCGTCTGACTGTTGCTGCTCCGCGTCTTTTCATTCTCTGCTGCAAGCCTTGAAAACTCACCATACTCCGCCAAGTGCTTGTTCTTTAAATGCCGTATTGTTTGTTGTGTTGAAGGATTTTACTGTACTTCCTCCATAAGGTATTTTTTGTTGCACATTTTGCAGTTTGAAAACTTGGCATCATGCTCACAGACGGTGAAAAACTTCCAGACGGCAGACACGTTTGTTTATGATCTGCTCCTTCTACGCGCCTGCACAATTTCTCCCTACTGAGCAGGCATGGGAGGCCGGGAACGGGGAACACTACACTGAATGAAGCTACACACAGCCTTTGCCAGATTATCAGTTTTTGTGATCGGCAATGGAAGGCATTTATCGAAAACGTCGATCAATACTTTTCATGAAAATCGGACGACATTAATCGGTGACCAATAGATCGGAACACCACTACTTTCTTTACATCAGCTTTTTAATAAATAAGTCTCTAAGTTCTCAAAGCTCCTGAATCGTACTATTGAGTTTTTGTTTTGTTTTATATTGTAAATGTGATTGTTATTTTTCATTCATTCATTCCGTCATTAAGAGCTTATGCTATAAGTAAAATAGAGCCATACAAATAATTCAGTATTCACCATGCTATCAGACACACTGAATTTTGACAGATGTCTTAATGTCCTACAGCTGCTGAGCTTTAAGTGCTAGAATCAAAACATTCATCATTTATCCATGACTCTGGCACGGCCACACAGAAGAAACCTGATCACTCGTCACACAGCGGTTAAGTGGCAATACATTAAAGCTGACACACAGGCAGTGTGCCCCGGATCCACACACACCTCGAGGCTGTCGGAGCTGGTGGAAGACCACAATGTCATGGGGGTCATTGAGGTTTTCAGCCAGAGCTTGGACATCTTGACCGGTTAGTCTGTTTGCCATAAAAACTGCTGCCTTGTCTCTGTCTGTCCAGTAGATTCGGTCCTAAAACACAAGGAGCAAAGAATAAAAGAGGACATTTAGTTTATTGACTTTCAGAGGGTTTTAGTTCAACAGGCCATACTAATAATTTGTGAAGCTAAAGAGATAAAAATAAAAATACCAACACAACCTTACATCTTGTCATAATCACTGACTACTTCATTACAGGAGTGAATGAAATGATAATTTCTATCTGGTACCTGGATTACAGATGGTTGGTCTGACCATCAATAGGCTCAAATATCTTTGTATGAAATACAGACAATTTACTCCCCAAAACATACATCCTATAAATTACAGCAATCATTTGACCTTTATTTCCTCTTACAGTAGGTTTCTATTTATCTTGGTAAGATATCTCTGCATACACAAGATTAAATCTTTCATTATAATGGTTGGCAGATGACTTCGGTTATAATTGGTGCCAGACTGGAGCAACCAGATACAAGCTCAGCTGTGACTGGATGCTGAGAAAAGAGAGTTCAAAAATGGTGTTACTTTAACTTGATTAAAATCTCATACTTCATTCTTTAATCCAGCCACATTTCAGAGAAAAGTGCGAAGAGGTTCTGAAATCTCTCTCTCTCTCTCTCTCTCTCTCTCTCTCTCTCTCTCTCTCTCTCTCTNCCACATTTTTATTTATTGTGAATTGGGTCTTAAATTTAATTTCAAGTGGCATTAAAGAGGTCTTAAAAAGCCTTAAATATAACTTGCCTTAAGCTGTTGGAACCCTGATAAGGCTCCCCTTATAGATGGCTTATAAATAGTTTATAGATAGGATAAGATAGAGACAAAACTGCCCAGTTTCTTGACAAATAGTGAGCCAAATCTGTTCATGTACATATTACATCTAAAAATGTCATATTAAACATTTCAGACAATGTAACTACACAATATGTAATGTATTGAAAACATATTTTACAGATAATTTTGTACTGTATTACTGCATTATACATGTCCACAACTATCAAAGAAATTGTATTGTAAAGTGTAAAACAGTATACAATTTATAAGGCTACCTTATGACATTTATACWCGTTTATTAGTCATTAATAGTGTACTGTCTAGAACTTTGTAGTGTACTTTACTTTGTACTGTGCAGCACTTTAGATGTGATATGTACATGAACAGATCTGGTTCACTATTTGGCAAGAAAACGGGCAGTTTTGTCTCTCTCATCCTTAATTAATACATAATAAACAATTAACAAGTTATAAAGTGTTTACAGATGAATTAATAACCTATCTATAAACTATTTATAAGCCATCTAAGGGGAGCATTATTGTAAAGTGGTACTGTTTTTTGCAGATAAAGGTGACTCAAAATTCATTTTCAAAATCAAATGTTTTTTTCTAATTTATGTCTTTAATTGTGTCTTATTTTTTTCTCAAACAAAAATCAAAAACCCAGGTGTCTTGAAGCTTTTTTTCTGCATGCTCCATACGTAGATTGTTCAGAAAAAGTCCTTAATTTGGAGTTATTAGGTATAAAAACCAAATACTTGCGCCGAACTTTTCACAATTTATAAATGTGGACAGCAGCTATAAAAAACACACGCTGGTTGACTTCTATTAAATTGATGCCAGAGTTCAAACTTTAAATTTAGAGCCATTAAAAACTCGTTTTATGGTTTTGTTGATTTCACGTTTTTCAGCTTTTTTCCGGATGTTTTATCTGCAGCATTTTTCTCTTTCCAGCAGTTTTCTTTTGTCATGAATCAGACGGGAGTGTAGAGCTGAACGCGAACAGTCTTCTACCTCCTGCAGGTTATTGTTTATTATCTTGTCTTCTCCCCGCTTCTTTCTCCTTCTATTTACATGCTCCACAGGACGTTGTTTGTCTCTTCACAGTCGGTTTTCTATATTATACCCCCCCCCCGCCGCAAAACTGTTTGTTTTTTGATGCAGATTTTATTTATTTTTTTTCTTCGAAAAGTTGACTTGGCATTTTAATGTGATTCGCTGAACTTTGTGTCCCGAGCTGACCTAAAAGGAACAAAATTATGTCACGATTAGTTAAAAAAAATAATAAAAATAATGGKTTTTTTTTCTTTCAGGATATTCTACGTTTCCCACGACTCTCAGGATCTAAAGATCTTCAGCTACATCGCCAGAGACGGACAGAGCAACGTCTTCCGCTGCAACGTCTTCAAGTCCAAAAAGAAGGTGAGACAAAGAGACGCATCCCGGAAATAAAGTCAGACTTTTGTTTCTCCCAAAATAAAAGTTAAGAATCCGACAGTTCTGCCTGGTTTGGTTGCAAACAGAGACGCAGCTGGGTCTCCGGGTTTTAGGAAAGTCAAACAAGTCATTCCAGTTTCTGTTTTCTTATTTATCTCTTACCTGGACTTATTCATTTTTATCAGCTACTTTGAAATAAAAAATAAAGGAGATTTGGTGTAGAAAATATTTGAGATGTTCTGATCTCTTGTTTTGAGCTGCTTAAAGTACCCRTGACAGCAAATTTTTGTAATAAACATGAACGCGTTTTTGGAAAAATAACATTGATAGCAYGTTGCAAAATAAATTTTATGCCACTGAGATGAACAGTTGTTGAGATATTTGCGTGTGAAGAAACAGGAAGTGACATCAAAGGGGAATGTAAGTAGGTCCTCTGGAAGGGTTCTTCTTTAATGAAATGTTTAAACGTTTCAATAAAAAAGAACCCGTCCAGAGGACCTGCTTATTTTTTCTTTTTGATTCAGTTAATAATGTTTCGATAAACAAAGATCAGAGTTCCCCTTTGATGTCACTTCCTGTTTCTCTTTTGCTGAGCCAAATCCAAAAGAAAACATGACAGTTATGTGACAAAAAGGGTAAAATCATGTCAAGTTTCTTAAATTCAAAGATGTTTTTCTTTTATTTGAGTTTGCAGAATATGTACGTYGCAGGCATTTTAAACAAAACCTTTGTGAATTTAAGGATTTGTTTTATTTCCACATGAACTGATACACAAAGTTAGACTTTTTGAGGGGCAGTAATAATTAATTTTTTTCTGTTCCTCACAGCCGTTGTGTTTTTAGATTCCAGCCATCATGTTTTTTTAACTTTGTTTCTGTGTGATGGAAAAAGTTACTGTCTTTTTTTTCTGTCTGAAACAAAGTCCTCGTCGAGTTGTGACAACTTTTAATAAAATGACATAATTATGTCAAGCAGCATTAGTTCCCTCTCGCACAGAGTTTGTAATTGCAGAGATCCAATGAATATGTTTGAGGCTTTTTGGAGGGTTTTGCTGCGGAAAAACAAAAAAGTCAAAACATAACTCTTGTGATGTAAGTCAGAAAATATGCCTCCAGTTTTCCACTTTTGCTGCCAATTCGGAAGATTTGATGGTTAAATCCAGGGGTTAGCTGGGTGAAACACACACTGCCTCATTATCTCTTCCATACAGACTGACAGTCACACACACACACACACACACACACACACACACACACACACACACACACACTGTATATATTGGTATATATTGACATGCTCTAAGAGAATAGTGCTATTGACAATTACTGTGATCAGTGTTATAATTGTTTTCACATTAAGGGAAGCTCTCCAAGTGAGTCAAGGTCCATCAATGTTCTTACAGGTCATTTGGGTCATGAGTAGGGTTGTGAAGTTGTCATCCATCATGAAGGGGGGCCTTATGGTAATGTTGAGTGGAAACAGATAAAGCACCCATGTGAGGGGGCCTCGTAATTAGGTCCATTGCTCTCCCCTTAAAGACACTGATCTTTATTCAAACCTCCTCATCCCTCAGAAGAAGGACACAAGATTAGAAACACAGTGTTCTGAGCTTCTCAGGATCCATATCAACAAGAATTCTTTTCCTTTGACCACTCAGAGCCAGGCAGTGGTTTAAGTAGGGCAAAGAGGTCTCAAATTCAATGCCACAGGCATCACACAGACCATTGTCATGGAGTCCCATCACCATTTTGTGGCGGTTGAGCAGATTGTGCCCAGTTAGGACTCCAACCAGTGTACCTAGAGTTTTCCTTGTCAAGGAGATGAGAGTTTTCCCAAACCTTAGATTTGGGCCGTTAATCAGTTCCCGTACCTGTCTACAGTCCATCAGCTCCCTCCAGAGGATTGACGTCTAATCCAGGCCTGTAGGGCAGTCCTACAGACTGTTGTTGAGATACCTACAACAGGCTCTGGTCCTTTGAAGTGAGCCTGACTGCCAGTTATTCAGCTCTCTTGTTACCATAAACACCAGTATGTCCTGGTACCTAGTGAACTAACACTGTTAACTCTCCCCAGTTGGTTGACTGCTTCAGCACACTCCCAAGCCAGCATGTAAAATGGCTATCTGTAAGGATGAATATTTCCTTCTGTGTACACTGAAGGTCTTTGAGAGAGGCCACATACTGGTGGATTACATATATCTTGGCTTGAGATACAGTTGCAAAACCACCTAGTGGGTAACTGTACTCTCTCTCATTATGGCTGTGCAAAATCAGCCCCCCTGCACCTACTGACTCCTTCAGGAGGGATCCATCTGTAAAACAGTAGAAATGATTGGTAGATATGTTCACCAGTTACTCCAGGCAGACCTGTCTTCAATCTCTGTCTTAAACTTGGCTCAAAGTTGTATTCTTTTAATCATTCTGTCTCCAGGTCCTGCAGTTACTGGAACAGTAACAACTGCCCAGTCCCAGATGCTAATGTGCTGTGAGTCAGATAACCCTAACTGTAACCCCACCGTACTGGATGCAGCCTCCCCTAATGGTCCTTTTCCACTTCTACAGAACGGTTCAACTAGGCTGAACTCTATTCAGTATGGTTCGGGTTTTTTTTCCATTAAGCTTCAGTAACAGCTCTAGTGGGTGGGTTCATCGTAAAGGTGGGCGGTCCCAGAGTCTGAAAATTGACGCCACACGAATTACCAGCTGGTGGCGCTTATGCACTGTGAAGCTATTTGCCAGCCATCAATAAACTTAGCAGAAGAAGACCTCGAAAAGATATGCAACACAACAATGGAGTACATGGTATTGTTGTCACTGCAAATGGTGGATTGGGTTGTTGTGAGAGCAGCTTTTGTGATGCAACCAGTGACTCCACCCCCTAACCAATCAGTGACTGACAGTCTTCTGACGTTGTGTTTTCAGGCCAGCATCATATTGGTGAAGCAAGTTCTGAAAAACGTGCTGGTTCCATGAAGCCATGCTAGTGGAAAAGCCATGAGAGCCAAGTTGAACCGTGCGGTCGAGGTGCTAGTGGAAAGGGGGATAAGATACGGAAATCTAGTGGAGTCAAGTTCAGTAGAACTAAGGGGGACTTAAAATATCTGTTCAAACGGGCATTTAACAAGAAGCTTATCCCAAGGCACCGTTTTAGCTCCAACATTTTCTTTTAACAATGCTAGGATCACCCTTTGATTGCTTACAATCGAACAGCAGCAGAAGGAATTTGTTGGTTTTTGTAGCATCGTCTCTTTATTTAACTCTCAAACTGTTTTAAATCTGCCAAAGAGCTGCATGATATTCAAAACTACATTAAACATCTGATCCAGATACAAAAGCATGGTGTGAATTAACTGCTGGAACAATTTAAAAGAAAGAGCACAAAATGTGTGTAGATTACTGCCACATGGAAAAACAGTTTAATTACAGGCGTTGCTACTAATAAGGTGGTTATAATCTGAGAATATTTGTATGACTGGAGGTAATTTTATTTTACTGAAGAAAAATAAGGATTAAGAGGATAATAAGTATTAGAGCGAAAAAACAAACATGTACTTAAATATTTTCTAACTCACAAAGTGTAACTAATACTTTGAAAGTGGATTTTAATTAGCTTTTCTGTGCAAACATAATGAGTCAAGATGAATAAGAGTTTGATTAATTTTATATCTAACAGTGTTGGAAGGGTATGTTTTCTTTCTTAACGTTAGTTCCTAAATGAATGAAACTCATCCCAGTTGGATTGAAATATAATACTCTGAATACAGAAAACATTAAATGAATCGTTCATTTATTAATTTGATTTGTTTCAACCTTTGTTTCCTTAGAAACTACAACCTGATCCCCTCTGGGCGTCTTGACGAGAAGCCTAATCATGTTTTTGTGTTTGATTTGTTTAGTCATTCAGAGATGGTGTACAGGACAATAAAGCTCACTCTAACACTGAGCTGCAATGTTTCACCAACTGAGAGGAATCCTGGATAGAGTTTAGATTTATATCCTGAGCTCAAAATCTTGGCCATCAGGTTTCTGTGGCGCGTTTGTAAGAAGCCTGGCCTACTATACATACAGCACAGGGAAAACTAAACAAGATGATGTAAAGTTGTGTTAATCTACTGATTATAGTCTATAAGTCTATATAAGTTTTCCCTGTTGAAGAAAAAAGAAAGGAGGAAGGTGGAGAAATGAAGTGAAACACTGCAGAACTAATGCACACATCGTGGCTCCTCTCTGCTCCGCTCCCATCTGATATAAAATACGGTGGTCTATAAATGAAAGCACTAAAAGCTTACTGTATTTATGCGTGTGTAAAAACTGAATCCCTAAACTCATCCATAAAGTTGGGAAGTCGTATTACACAGGAGTAAATTCTGACCGATTTTTTTCTACCACAATAAATGTAATTTTTTTTGTATGGGACTACAACTGAAATATTGTGCTGTTGGGAATAAATGATCATAAATTGTCCCTCTGCCCTCCTGCTGGACGTCTCATAGCCCAGCAGATTAACAGCAGGTGTCTTCTCTCACCAGAGGATGAATTTTTTTTCTTTTGTTAAATATTTAAATAGTAGGATTGCATTAAATGGCATGAACATGGTAAATAAAATATGTCGGCTTTACTTCGGGCCTCCAATCAGAGTTAATTAGTTGGGTTGAATTGGGTTCAGACACCATGTCAGGCTCAGACTGGGTCAGATTTTGTTAAGCCCAATCTAAACTGTAATCCTGGATTGGTGAGGTGTTAAACTGGAGGGATTTTACAATTTCACTGAGTGTTACTCAGTGAGAACAGTGGGAAAATTGCATAGTGATAATTCAAGAAACTAGATGAATTTAAAGAGAATTTACATTTATTCAATTTAAATGTAACTATTCTATAATTTACAGCAGCTTATCTTTAATTACTTTAATTAATTGAACTCAGTCATTTTTTATGTTTGCTTGGAGTACATTTAAAAACAGCTTTATTTAAATTAACCTGTTAACAAATAAATATCTTCACTTCTTTTTGAGGTAAAGGATCTAAAAAAGCTTTTCTTTTGAAATTTATCATTAATTGATTAAAAAAATATTTGATAGATTTTACTGCTGATATTCAAACTTAAAATGGTCAAGGTTTGTAATTTACTATACATCCAATGCAAATTATTTTTCATTTTTTATTATATTTAGAAATTATTTGCATTTTTTTAGTTTTTATTGAGTGTTTACTCACGAGAATCACAAAGACACTGGGGGAGCTGGAGGAGAGAGAGAGTCAGATACGAAGAAAGAAAAAGTGGCTTTATTAAACTCAATTTTAGTCCTTTTTTATGCTCACTATTATATTTATTCAGCAGAGCTATAGAGTTGCACTAAAACTGTGCCTTTGCTAAAATTCAGTAGCTGTAGCTGAGAGTCATTTACAACTCACACTCTAAGTGCTGCAGATTGTGTGAAAGTTCTGCTTAAAATGTTTGTGTTGACTATTGAAAATAATCCTGTTTTTATGTTAGTTTATTTGTGTGTTCACAAATCACACATACAGTACATAAATACAGTTGGGTGAATATGTATTTGGACAAAATGAAAGCATCTTTTAAACAACCCCTTCATTTCAGAGGCTCAAAAGTAATTGGACAGATTAAATAATTGTAAATAAAATGTTCATTTCTAGTTGGTTGAAAAGCCTTTGTTGGCAATGACTGCCTGAAGTCTGGAACTCATGGGCGTTACCAGATGCTGTGTTTCCTCCTTTTTAATGCTCTGCCAGGCCTTCACTGTGGTGGTTTTCAGTTGTTTGTTTGTGGGCCTTTCTGTCTGAACTTTAGTCTTTAACAAGTAAAATGCTCAATTGGGTTAAGATCAGGTGACTGACTTGGCCATTCAAGAATATTCCACTTCTTTGCTTTAATAAACTCCTGGGTTGCTTTGGCTTTATGTTTTGGGTCATTGTCCATCTGTGGTATGAAACAACGACCAATCAGTTTATCTGCACTGCTGATCTGAGCACACAGTTTGGCTCTGAATACCTCAGAATTCATTCGGCTACTTCTGTCCTGTGTCACATCATCAATAAACACTAGTGACCCAGTGCCACTGGCAGCCATGCATGTCCAAGCCATCACAGCGTGTCTGCAATGTTTTACAGATTATGTGCTTTGGATCATGACCCGTATTACGCCTCCACCTGACATTTTTATTTCCATCAGTCTGGTAGACAGACAGATGGAATGGGGAATATACCCTCAAAGGACAGGTGAAAGTCTCAACTTTTCGTCCATGTTCATTGTGTCAAATGTACAAATGTGTCAGTGTCCAACTGGACCTAACTGTACATACACCTGCAAGTTATTTATTTTCTGAGTCAAACCAATTCAAGATGACTGAGAAAGCAAATCAACACAGACCAATGCAAAAACTGCTAAAACTCAAGTTAATTTAACTGATTTTGATAGGGATGTACAATATATTGTCATTAACATATCGACATATCGGCCGATGTTAGTATTTTTTAGAATATCGTATTGGTCCAATAAGTATAACTGGGCCGATATTATCGTCTGATATTGATTTCCCACTTTTTAGCTTTGTGTTTTTTTTTTTTCAGAGGGGAGATGGTCAAGTGGTATCTGTTTGATCATGATAGTGTTAGTGACGCTGCAGCCAGGAATAACTGAAGCACAGAGCCATGTCAGCAGTCTGGTCATTTTTATACGGTATTGAAAAAAGACACAAGTATATTTGTGCGAATATGTATATAAAAATTTTGCGTTTGTGTAATATCTGTAAATATCAATTATCGGCCATAGGACCAATAATACAATCATAGATCGATATTGCATCCCTAGATTTTGATGTAAAATTTGGTTTGGTAGAAGCTGAGAGTCAACACGTTCTCAAAGAGTTACATTTTATGACATGAATGAAAATTTTATTTCCAAGGTTTTACCAACATAGCTACAACTTTGTCCTTTCTGAACATACAATGACATTAGGCCATATACTTAGGGTTGCACATAAAATTTTTGGTCTGGTTCTCAGGGGAGAACCTAGGGTTGTAGTTTGGTGCTCATATTTTCCTTCATTCATTTAACACATTTATCTATAGGGGTGTCAGGGCATCTAACATCCCCCTGGTCTAGTTTATGACTCCTATCAGCTTCAACGTCTCAGGACATTATGCCAAATCAGTCCAACAAGTTTTTTATTTATATTTTTTACTCTATATAAATTTTGTAAACTACCTAAGTGGTCAAGGGACTGAGTGTATGACATATAAACATCACAAACTGAACATTTCATGGTTAAATGTCTTTTAGACTAACATGCCCCTCAGATGGACAGCTCCTGTTTGGTCTTCTGCATCTTCAGCCTTGGTTAAACCAGCTTTCCACACTCTTCAGACCAAGCAGCAAATATCTGTCTTTTGCACAGAGCAAAATAACTTAAAGGGGCAATATTATGTGTTTCTCAGGCATATGTTTAAATACTATATCATAATAAAGTATCTAAGTCACCTTTAGCTGTTAT